AGAACAGAACAGAATAGAGGAATGAAGGAATAGAATGGAATAGAATGGAATAGAATGGAATAGAATGGAATAGAATGGAATAGAATGGAATAGAGGAATGAAGGAATAGAATGTAATAAAATGTAATAGAATAGAATAGAATAGAATAGAATACTGTAGTTGGAAGGGACCTTGGAGATCCTAGTCCAACCCCCTGCCTAGGCAGGAAACCCTATACCATTTCAGATAAATGTTCATCCAATCTTTTGTTAAAGACTTCCAGTGTTGGAGCATTCACAACTTCTGGAGGCAAGTTGTTCCACTGATTAATTGTTCTGACTGTCAGGAAATTCCTCCTCAGTTCTAGGTTGAACCTCTCCTTGATCAGTTTCCATCTATTATTCCTTGTCTGGCTTTCGGGTGCTTTGGAGAATAGGTTGACCCCCACTTCTTTGTGGCAACCCCTTAAATATTGGAAGACTGCTATCATGGCACTCCTAGTTCTTCTTTTCACTAGACTAGGCATACCCAATTCCAGCAACTGTTCTTTATATGTTTTAGCTCCAGTCCTCTAGTCCCCAATTTGGGCTTGGATTGCTGTTGTAAATAACATTAGGACGGTATCATTCACATAGATAAGAGTACAGGTTGTCCTAGCCTTGCAACTGTTCATTTGATGACCATTTATGGTTACAACAGCACTGTAAAAAGTAACTTGTGACTACATTTGACTACTGCAGCATCCTGGAGGGTCACGTGATCAGAATTTGGCAACAGCGTGTATTTATGACGGTTTCAGGATCCCAGGGTCATGTGATAACCTTTTGCGAGCTTCTGACAAGCAAAGTCAGCTGGGAAGCCAGATTCACTTAAAATTGTGCTACTCACTTAACAACTGCAGCGTTCCACTTAACAACCGTGGCAAGAAAGGTGATAAAATAGGGCAAAACTCACTTGACAGCTTAGCAATGGAAATTTGGGGTTCGACTCTGGTCGTATGTTGAGAATTACCTTTATGGATTTTAAAGTATACCCTGTTTCCCTGAAAATAAGACCTTCCCAGATAATAAGCCCAATCGGGCCTTTGAGTGCATGTGCTAAAATAAGCCCACCCCAAAAATATCTAAGCGCATGTGCTGCCGGTCTCCATCATTTCCTCTGGTTGCTTGCCGCATAAACAACATGAGATGAGGAGGCAAGGCCGGAGGGGGGGGGAAAGGGAGCCGGGAACATACCCCATGTACCCAACACACTCTTACCTAACAGCCGCTCCTGCAACCTTAGCCATCATGCTCCTTCTGTCACGCTAATGGCCACCGCAAATAGAGAGGCAGCCCCGGCAACGCACAACACAGCAGCAGCCATGAGGTGACCATGCTCACCACCTCCTGCACCTCAAAAATAATAAGACCTCCCCCAAAATAAGGCCAAACAGTTATTTCAGGGGTTAAAAGAAAATAAGACCCTAAGACCCTGTCTTATTTTTGGGAAAATATGGTAGCAAGCTGGAAGGAATTAAGTTTCTCTGTTATCTCAGTCCAGATCAGTCTACATGTCCTTACTCTAATGCACTTCAATACATAACAACAACCAAAAGCAAAACAGAAAAGTGGCTGTATATTGATGTGTTTCCAGAGCCAAAGTCTGGTGGATATTGCTGGTGGATATCACCCGGAGAACAACAGCGATCCATGAAAATTATATATACAAACCCTAATTGCTTTATGATGGCTACTAATGCAATTTCAACCATTAACGAGACTTCAAAGCTACTCCAGGGAGTTCTGTATTCAGATACACATTTTACTGCAAACTGTAACTGAGCACAAAGTGGTTTTTGAAAGACATCTTAACTTCTGGACAGAGAGCTTGGGAGGTTGCTTTCTAAAAATTCACCACTCATTTCTCACTAACAGGAGTCTTTCTTGGTGGGGATAGTTATGGGGAAAGGTCCACTGCTGATGCATTAGAGACGTGGTGAGAGGATTGTTAAGATATTGAGACAATTCTTGGCCATCCTATAATACTTTCTACGACATTCCCACATATCCTCTCCCCCCCGCCCCCCCGACATGTGATTGTCCCTTGGAAGCATTTCTAAAAACAAGGCTTTCCTTCCTCATATTTAATTAGGGCTGGCAGGGGAAAAATGAGAAGAATTTCTCTATTCTGGTGGAATGCAATCAAAGTTAATGACTTTATCCACTGTGGCTGCTAGAAAAATGATTAGGCTGCTTTGGAGAGGCAACTGGAGCAGCACGCATTTTCTTTAGTTGAATTCACCTCCAAATTTTCAGACAAAATGACGTGAGCTTTTGCCTGTTGCAACCAAATGATATAAGCATTTCCTGGATGGCTAGAGATGTGTACCGTGTTTTCCCAAAAATAAGACAGGGTCTTATTTTCTTTTGATCCCCAAAATAAGGCTCTTGGACTTATTTTCGGGGGAGGTCTTATTATTTTTAAGGTGCAGGAGGCAGCGAGCGTGGTCACCTTATGGCTGCTGCTGTATTGCAATATTTTCGGGGAGGGCTTATTTTCAGGGGGCTTATTTTAGCACATGCGCTCAAAAGCCCAATTGGGCTTATTATCCATGGAGGTCTTATTTTCAGGGAAACAGGGTAGTAGTTATTAACAGCCTAGATATTTTGCTAATACCTACAAATATTAAATAAAAGTTTATATTAAAAACAATGTCTGTTATTCCACATTACTTATTAAAATTAACAGCGGGAGGAGGAGGAGATGAAGGAGAAGAGAGGCAAGAGGAGGAGGAGGAGGAGGAAAAGGAAATGAAAGAGAATGAGAAAAGGAAGAAGAAGCAGAAGCAGAAGGAGGAGGAGGAGGAAGAGGAGGAGGGAACACTGAGTATTTTTAATAGTTTGTATTTGTGTGTCTTATAAACCATCCTGAATTCTTATTTGTGTGCACGATTATGCTTGAATTTTAATTGGTGTACCAGACTGATATTCTCAAATGGAATTGGAAATTGGGGGGGGGGGGAATAAACCAGGGTGAAAAATAATTTTGATTTGATTTATATTTCTTTGGATAAGAATTGAATTGAATTGAACAGAACAGAACAGAATTCCTTATTGGCCAAGTGTGATTGAACACACAAGGAATTCAATGTATTCAATATACAATAGTTGTTACCATTCTTTTCCAGTCATATAGTTAACAATTTTCCTTTCTGCCATATTAAAAGCATTGCAATTTGGTAAACATTTTTTTGGAATTGTAAGGGGTTGACTCCAAATAAAGAGGGAATGCATAAAGCCCTGTTTTTCAAATGGTTTAAACAAGGAAAAACATGTTATTGAGTAGATAATTAATTGCATAATGTATGAATCGCTCTATGTATGTGTGGATGGCTTTGTGTACTCCTATATCTTTGTGTGTGTCTATAAATCTACTAGCCAATGCAACTATTTTATTTAATGAGGAAATATCAGTACCTGAAGGCACGTAATATTCCACTTCTTGACTATCTTGATTTTCATCCTCCACTTCATTTTCTGGAAGATCCTCCATAAAACTGCCGAATTCGGCTTCAGGCAGGATCTCCTTCGTTTCTAGATGGTCCAAATCAGGACGTCTTCCTACAACATCAACCCCTGGATCCATCTCCTCTGATGGTACGGACTCGATCAAGATTTGAACCCTTCCTGCCAAGGAATCCACCTTGCGTTTGCTTTCTTCGATCATGACAAACTCATCAGCGGGAATCTCTGGCTCATAAATGATTCCCGTCTGTCCTTTGATGGGCGTGTCTATTTTGACCGAAGGTACGCAAACAGGTATTTTTGACCTCTTGGTGGAACGCTGGACTTTCCTTTCTTCTTCCGTTGAAGACTGCTTCCCATTACCCTCACTTAGATGGCTCCGACTTCCCATTGAGCCTTTGCGTCTGCCATAGGACGATCTGGGAATGCAGGAGCCTGATCCTTTCCTTGGTGGGCTGGTATAAACGGGCTCATCTTCACTGGAAGACCAGGTCATGGATCTGTTGTAGACGGTTCTGATTTTAGTGTGCATGTTGGAACTAAGCTTGTCATCACCGGTCTGGCCTTGATTGGACTGGGATGAGACAGATCGGTTGAGTCTGGATGGCCTCCCATTGACCTCTATGGGGTTGGCTTTTTCCACTGCATCGTTAGCCAAGAGAGGCTCACCTCCTTTCTCCCAAAAGTTTTTCAAGTTCTTGAAGTGTGCATGGTCAACCCCAATTTCATCGTCCTTGGTATTGACTGATGAAATGATAATGCGATTGGCATCCATTTTCAGTTCACTGTTTTCCTCTCCGACAGGTGGAAATTTGAAACTCTTCAAGACGTGTGTCTTTTCTAAACCCAGACCAGATTTTTTAGCTCCGTCACCGTTGGTGAAGTTGGGAGAGAATAATGGTTTGCTTGATTTCCTGTTAACTGGTATTCTGCTAGGTGGGTTGACTTCTCTTTGCAGAGCTGGTTGAAATCCTCCAAGTTCTTTAACACCATCAGGGATATCTTCCACAACTTTAGGAACATAATCTCCCACTGAGTAAAAGAACTCATCAGGAAGCTTGGTGGAGCCACCTGGTGAGAGTTCAAACCCTACGGGGGGGGGGAGGGGGAGGCAAAAGAAAGAAAATGAATGAATCTCCGGAACTGTAGTGAAAGATCTGAGTTCACACACCCTTTAGTTCAGATATGGGTCCTCCACATGCATTGGACTATTCATCACTTCTGTTCTGACCTAGGCTTCCTGAGAAAGCATAGATCACAATCTTAGTCCCAAAAACCCTATCTTATTTATATGGCTGTGAATTATGGTCATTCATAGTCCGCAGGGCTTCACAAACAGTCTGTGAAGTTTCCGACAGATGTCTGCTCGAGTTGCCACAGTCTTTCAGGGGAATGTTGATAAACACCCACCTT